CGCTTCGCTGGAGAAGTGAAGACTAGGGGGCGGCTGGACAAGAGAGGAAGAAGGGTAATTTCCTTTTTTTTTTCTTTTTTTTCTTCCAAGCAAAATAATATAACAAAATAATATTTAAGGGCATATAAATAAGGAGAATTTTCTCTAATCTTTCTGAAAAAGAAAACTCACGTTAAAAAGGATTTGAAAATTTTATTTAAGAGATTAACTTGATTTTAAAACCTAAGAATAAAATCCAAAAAGGGAAAATGAAATTTCCAAAACTTTGAATTAAGATTTAATTAAAATCTATTTCCAAAATTCAAAAACTTAATTTATCTTAATCCAACAAAATTAAACTTAAACTATAATTTACCCAAAATTAGAACTTCAAAATTATAAAATACAATAATTTAAATTATTCACTTAGAGGAAAATCCAAAGGTACAAATTCAATCTTATAATAAAACTAACTCGAAAATGCGGGGCGTTACACAAGCAGTCCTCAGTACCCAGAGAATAGCGGAGAAGATTTGGTCGTGGTGTTCGTTTGTGATTTCTTGACGAAAAGTTCTTCAAAAGTGAGTTGTTCTTTTCTCTGTTTTTCCATTTTTGTATTGTGATTTTTGTTCCTGAAAATTCAAGAACAAGATCGTCATTTTCGCTGTGGGATTAACGTCCTTTCAAGTTCTTCCCCTGCAAAAGAAACAGCTTCTCTCTCTCTCTCAACTCTCTCAACTCTCTCAACTCTCTGTTCTGGTTTTGGTTCTCACAAACTATTCCTAGCCGGAGACATAGCAACGAAGATCACATGGAGGTGTTCTTTGGGTTTACACATATGAAAAGTTCTTCATGAAGGGATTGAATCACGCAGCGGAAGCACGTGAACTCTTGTGCTTCGATATTGTTTTAGAAGTACAATAAAGAAAAGAAAGAAACATTATAAAAGGAAAGAATGAGAAGTTGAATAACCTACCTTTGAAGATCGTATGAGAAGTTGAATAACCTACCTTTGAAGATCGTTCTTCACCTAGTTCAACGACACCACCAAAATGTCATCCCGCTATTCTCTTGGCAAGGATCGATTTTTGGAAACTGCCTTTTTGAAAGAGAGGGAATTTGGATTTGAGAGAGAGAGCTAATGGAGAGAAAATGACTTTCTGCCAAAATCACTAAAGGCCATAAAAAAAATCTCAAAATGCAACTCCTTGCATTTTAACGAGAGGGAGAGGAGTGTCGTCCCCCTCCAACTACCCACTTCCTTACCTGGGTTGTTAATTAATTAATAATAATGATAATAATTAAATATCATATATTTAATTAAAGATTTGTTTGAATCATATTTAAATGTATATCTATCTCATAACCTATAGTTTTCATGTGAATCTCATACACATGAATTTTAACCTACAGTTTTAATATGAATGCAATTCATATTAATTATTATTTGAATCTTATTCAAATATAACTTTTATAATATGTAGAGTTTAATTATGAATGTCATTCTTAATTAACTTTATATTATAATGTATGTATATACATTATGTTAATTATATCTTATACAATTAACCTATCATCACTCATTTAAATTGAACAACTCTGATTC